GAAAGTTCATTGACCTCTTGACTAGATCTAGTGTTGTTTCTCTCTCGTCAGCTGTTATTTACCATTCGGTGGGAAAAATAGAGACTCCGCTTATTCTTCAGTGCAGCAAATCATTTTTAGTTTTACGTATGTAAATATATATAAAGAGAAACCTGTGGCTTACATAAATCTGTTGATATATAGTTTAGATCAAATTTTATCATGTTTAATAACACTTAAAGGGTGATACGGTCAAAATTTGGTCAATATCAACTTGACGTATTTCTTTCAATTTTGCATTTAAAAAACCTGAACACCCCTCATTTTGAAGGTGTGTGTGTGTTGAATGTTGCTCCTATTTTGATTTTGGAATTCACTCTTCAGTTGTCAAAATGCCGTCCAAGCAAGAAGAGCAGCGTATCAAAATTTTGCTCGCGCATCGCGAAAATCCGAGCTACTCGCACGCAAAGTTGGCAAAATCGCTAAAAGTTGCCAAATCAACCGTTACAAATGTAATTAAAGTGTTTCGGGAACGTTTGTCGACAGCCAGGAAGTCTGGATCGGGGGGAAATCGAAAACCGGAAGCCGCTGAGACGACAAAGAGAGTTGCCGGTAGTTTCAAGCGAAACCCTAACCTCTCTCTCCGAGATGTCGCAAATAAGCTGGGTGTATCGTCTACAACCGTGCATCGAGCCAAAAAACGAGCCGGACTATCGACTTACAAGAAGGTAGTGACTCCAAATCGCGATGATAAACAAAATACGACGGCCAAAGCGCGATCCCGGAGGCTGTACACGACGATGCTGACGAAGTTTGACTGCGTGGTAATGGACGACGAAAACTACGTCAAAGCCGACTACAAGCAGCTTCCGGGACAGGAGTTTTATACGGCAAAAGGAAGGGGAAAGGTAGCAGATGTTTTCAAGCACATGAAACTGTCAAAGTTCGCAAAGAAATATCTGGTTTGGCAAGCCATCTGTACCTGTGGCTTGAAAAGCAGCATTTTCATAGCTTCCGGGACTGTCAACCAAGAAATTTACGTGAAAGAGTGTTTGAATAAACGTCTGCTGCCTTTCCTGAAGAAACACGGTTGTTCCGTACTGTTTTGGCCGGATTTGGAATCTTGCCATTACTGTAAAAAGGCCATGGAGTGGTACGCCGCCAACAACGTGCAGGTGGTTCCCAAGGACAAGAACCCTCCCAACACGCCAGAGCTCCGCCCAATTGAGAAATACTGGGCTATTGTCAAGCGGAACCCAAAGAAGACCAAAAAGCTGCTAAGGGCGAGCAGCAGTTCAAGGCAAACTGGCTTTCTGCGGCGAAGAAGGTGGACAAGGTGGCTGTACAAAATCTGATGGCAGGGGTCAAGCGTAAGGCCCGGCAATTCGGATTTGGAAAAGCGGAAGCCTAACTGAATATTTTTTTCTGAATTTTATACTAATTGAACTTGAAAAAGAAATTTAATTTGATTTTTTAAATAAACGATTTCACCGATTTACACACGTTTTCCCTTGACCAAATTTTGACCGTATCACCCTTTATTATTTGTTTTAGGAGTTTGCGGAATGCTGTTCAGTGTCAACTGCTTTAACAAAATCATCCAAATACACTGGTGCTTTCCTTTCTCGAACTTTCCGTGATGATGTTTCGGGCTGGTTTGAATGCTTCTCTTGAGGATTTTCGACCGCTTCTGGTGCTTCTAAATTCCGCCATTCTGAAACTTTGTTGGTCTGTGAGATGTGGCGCTTCACTACGTGTCCATTTTCGTCGTTGAGCCGTTCGCTCGTTTCTTCGGGTTTTTTTCTGCCGTCGGGTTCAAGAAGAGTCATGCTCGTGTTTTCCGAGTTCACATTGGTGTCGTCGTTTCTGATTTCCAAGGTTTCGGCCACCGGCTGAACGGACTCACTCGACGCGTTTGACTCAAGCCTTGACTCCCTGTGTCTGCCAATGCTTTCGTCTGAATCGTAATCCGTTCTTGCTTCTTCAGTTGCCTCCTCCACGAGCTCCGGGTTGTCCTGTTCATCGTCGCTACTTGGTGACTCAGGGTTTACTGGTGCCCGAACGTACATTCCCGGGTTTTCCATTTTCGTGAAATGCACTTTTCTTTATCTGAAAATGGATCACACGCATTCCAACGCAATTGAAGCGTTAGCACTTAGTGTTAATTCTGTCATTTCTAGATAAATGAAACCGATGCCACATAGTAAAATTAGGGGTTATCTCACTCAACCAACAATAGGTTTTCATGAATCATCAATTAAACAGAACATTTTGTTGTTGTCATTTATGTCATTGATTGTAGAAATACGGTTCCAACAAACACAATGGACTTTTGAAACCACTATTTTGAATTTTGCAGACATCCAGTTCCGCTTTAACACTGTTATCGTTCTGGACTGATTTCAAACTTGCGGACATCCCGTTCCGCCAAGATATACACTACCTGTCGTACTGTTACGACATTCGGCTTTGTTTGAGCTCTGCGGACATCCCGTTCCGCCTGAACACTGTGGTTATCTTAAACCACTTTTATTTTATAAAAATTTGTCTTAAAATCTGCGGACATCCCGTTCCGCTTAAACCCTGTGGTATTTCCAAAAAAGACACCAGAGATCTACGGACATCCCGTTCCGCTAAAACACTATGGTCGCTCTGAGCAGCTTGATTTAATATGTAGTAGATTGAAACTTTGCGGACATCCCGTTCCACTAAAACCCTGCGATCATCTTGACCCGCCTGACTTCTGCAGACATCCCGTTCCGCCCGTACTCTGGATGATTTTGCTAAAAAAAAGTGACATAACCTCAAATGGTCTCTAACTACATTATCTAGGGTCTGGGTGGTTAAAACCAAAGATTTAAGTAAACTAAAGGAGAAAAATCTATTCAACTCTCTAATAAGGAAAATACCAAAGGCCAATACCAAAGTTGTCGTACCAACGCTACCAAGCCATCATAATGAAGTAATGAAATTGGGTCGTTAGCGGAATGCTTAAATAAAACAGCAAAAAAAGGGTTATCTTCCATTTAATTCCACTTAATTAATTTTGGTATCCATGACAGATATGTATTTCGACTACAATGTGCAGTCTTCATCAGTGTCTTTCCTACTAAAGAACTTTTCAAAATCTAACCCCCTAAGTCCTTTAGTTTACTTAAATCTTTGGTTTTAATTAGTTAGGTAGGTTCCGATTCAACACATTGTAGTTTCATTTTATACCTGTGATCTTGACTTTTATACCTAGGGGATGAGTACTTAAGGGGGTTAGATTTTGAAAAGTTCTTTACACTGATGAAGACTGCACATTGTAGTCGAAATACGTATCTGTCATGGATACCAAAATTAATTAAGTGGAATTAAATGGAAGATAACCCCTTTTTTGCTGTATAAGATTCAGCTTTGTCCACCGAGGATGATCTTGAGTAAAGGAAAAAAATGAATTAGTTGTTAGGGGTTATCTCTAGTTTGAAGTAGGTAAGACTAGGGTTCTGGTGCATGGTCATTATCGGTGTCATACCTTAATTGTGTTGCTTAGGGATCCATTTTTGACTAAAAAAAAGGGGGTCGCGCCTTTGGAGGGTGTTTCAACACCCCGAAGAGTATAAATAGCGGGACCTTTCAATTAGAGTCGGATCCTTGCGATAAATGCAATAATGGCATCTATATCAAAACCGAATACTTCATCATTTCTAAACTAATGACACGGGATATACTACAATAGATTAGGGTTATTCGACATCTTTCCATCTGTCACTATTAACCACGAGTTAAATTTAACTTGCGAATTGGGACACAGCCTAAGAAGCGAATATTTCAACAGTACATCAGTTGTTTTTATCACCATGGAGTCCTCACAGCTGGTTCAGAACGTGAGCCATTTCACCCGTCGTCATCATCATCATCATCATCTTCTTCTTCATCTTCACCGCACCGCATAATCCCCTCGAAGAACCATGCGAAGCAGAACACAACTGCACGGACGAGCATCCATATTCAGCGATTATCGTCAAAGTTTGTTTATTATTATATTATGAAGTTGGCACCATTTGCTCCTTACCCATCATAATCATCCTTGCAGCCTGAACAAAATGAAGATCCTTCACATTTCCTTGACGATGGATTCACGTACAGCATCGAAGTAGATAGTAGTGTTAGGGACGATGACCACCACGGCGTAACAAATCCATCGAAAGCAGGGAGGACGTTACTGTGGGTGGGTTGGTGATCGAACTGGGATGGCTAAAACAGGAAGGAGGGTACACTTCCGGTCCCATCCTGATGCCTACAACAGTCATCCTCATCGGTCATGACAAGGCATGCATCTCGCGTTGACAGTCCGTTACAAAGTAGCAAACATCTAGGGCGGCTCCGTCCGACACGACACGACACGACACGACGACGACGACACTCACCCTTCAGAATGCCAGAATGTAACAACATCATCGTCGTCGTAGACGCCGCCGTCGCCTGGATACCATCAGAGCAAAACCGACGACAGCGGAAAATGGTGACGACAACCGCCTGCTTCGGTGGGAATGGGATGGGAAAGAAATAGGAAAAAGCGGAAGAAAGTCATAAAAAATAATTGAGATTGATTATACAATTGTATGCAATCATTTTTCCGCGTGTGATTTTCATCTCGTTTTCCACTGGGTGCAAAGCGTGTCTGACGGCGACAAATGCAATGACGACATGCGCCACCTTCTTCCTAACTGGAATCGTGGAGGCGCGCGGTACTTGACGAAGCGAGTAAAAACCTTTAAATCATAAATCCTCCTTTTTTGTCGCAATCAAATCTCAATCGCTGCACATGTCGCAGCCATGAAAACCGTTTCCCGATGCTGGGGACGAAAAAAGCAGCAACCCCATAAAATTCAGTAGCTATCGAGCATCTGTTGCCAAACTGCAAACGACTAGCGGGAGGGTGGTCTGATGCCCTGAAAACCCTGGAAAAACGTGACAATTAGGAGTTTATTTCTTTCCGTAGTTCGTGCCAGTGAAATATGCTGTGCCGTATTTGCGCGTATCAGTGTGGGGCTATTCACGCGGTTTTCTTTATTACATGTTGTGTGTACATACAGTTTTAGTGTTTCCTCGCTTTCCGAATGTGTGTCTCTCTGCTAGGTTTAGCTAGGTGTATTAGGTTTCATTTCAATTCTACTCATGGGTGAAAATATGTCAACAATTTAATAGTGTTCATCTGTCATCTGTGTTTTATGCTTATTTGTATTTTGTTAAAATCTTTAACTTTGCTTCATTCAGATATCAACTCTATAAGTGCTACCACTTAGAAATTATCACCTTTTTTTTTGTATTTTTCTATTATATACCGAGAAAATTAAGTTTTTTACAGCGACAGGAATGGTGTTGTTAGTGCTCCTCGAAAAGCTACCTCCACCACTTTAAACTATAATTTACCTTTTACGTTTGTAACATTGGAACTGGTTCAAAAATAATGCTTGGTGTTTTACATTGTATGGCCTCTAGTATTTTTTTTTTACTCTGATTTGACTGCGTAACAAGTTTCAATAAAGAATGATTTAGAAGAAGAAAACCCAATGAATGTTTACAATTTGACATTACAATTGCAATTTCAAAAACAAACGTTTGAAAAAAGAAATCGCTTTCAAATGTTCTATAATAAATGTGATGCGCCCATCAGGTACACATTTTTTGGATTAAATTCGGCCGCCTCATGAATACTCATGCTTTTCTATGAAAACAGAAACAGAAGTGTTTGAATAACATAAGAAAACATAATCCAAACATTCAAAATATGTAAGTTTGTGATGCATAGATTTATGTGCGGGAGTTCCATTAACATTAGAAAAAATTGCCGAAACTTTTTAGGAGACGAACTTCAAGGACACATTTCACAAACATTCGCTGCATCCAATATCCGGGGCAGAGAGTTTCAGGGAAGTTCCATTAACTTCAGGAGGATAGCAAAAACTTTATGCCGGCGCCGGTGGTGTAGTGGTAAGCGTGACTGCTTTCTAACACCCCAATGGGTCTGGGTTCAATCCCAGTCGAGGTCGGTGGGATTTTTCTGAGGCATAAAAATCTCTGGTCACGTCTTCCTTCGGAAGGAAAGTAAAGCCGTTGGTCCCAACCCATGTGTGTTGAATGGGTGCGATATCCCACGCAGGTGTGGAAGCTGCCTTCCTGAACATTCGATTGCCGTCAATGGATGGCAATCGATGTCCGTCGGTGATTGGCACTAGATTGCGGAACAGAGACCGACGTTAAATAAAGGAAAAGCAAGAACTTTACAGTTGTTACCGAAATTTCAGTTATAATCATCTTTAGGGAAGCAACGTGAACTTCGGGGCAGTTCTGAAACTTTCCAGGAAGTTATATGAATAGCAGGAAAATAGCTAGAACTTCAGATTGATCTCTACATCTGTAGGGTAGTTCCATTAATTTCAGGAAAATATCGGAAACGTCCAAGAAGTTCCGAAAATTAAAGTATGGACCATAAAAATTCAGGGAAGTTAAGTGAACTTGAGAAAATTTTCAGAAACTGTGAACAGTGAACTGCAGGGAACTTCACAAGTATTTAGGTCAATTCCGGATCATCATCAGTAAATTAACGAGAACTTCAGGGAAGCTTCGTGAACTTCAAGAAATATTCGAGATCTTCAGGGCAGTTCATGAGAGTGAGATCCAACGAAACATTAATTGCTGATGTGTGACTGTATTGTTTGTGTTTCTAATCCAGTCCACTGTTGATCGTTGAAAATATTAAGACGCACAATAAACGAGTCCGCGATTCCCACAAAAAGATCCTGACGATTTGTTTTTTCTTTATCATTTGTGTATTTGTAACGGTCTTTTACAGAAGCCTCCAACTCAAAATAAAAACAAATTTGGTTTACTGAATTTATTCATCAAAGTGCTGCCAAATGTCAGAATATTTTTTTTTTCTGCGGGGTGAAAGTGCTGACAAATCATCCTACTGGTCAATCTTGTAAGCAATTCGCAAATAAATCATGTAGGTTTCTTATGGCTTGTTTACGTTTGAAACCAGTTATACATAAAGTCCTCTAAGTAAAAATATGGAAGTCAGAGATTGTTCCAATCGAACCGTTAAAATGCACTGAGTGTTTTAGTTATACGAGGTAAGCGACGATTGTTCGTATCTGACAGCCACATCCTACCCCTGGGAAAAAAATCAGTAAGGAAATATTGTTGAAATATTTCAGGAATATCTCATGCTTCGAATTCAGCAGTATTATTTTGCTGGCACGTTTGTTGATCTATCATTAATAGCGAATTCGTTTATTATTCAGTTCCAACCTGGATCGGGTATCAAGTTTGGGTATGATTGTTTTCTGACAAACGTCAGTTTGCTCGTTTGTTTTTAAATCCTACACAGATAAAATTTCTGAATTTTAATAGTGATGTAAACATTCATTCACGTAAACTTGTATTTCATTTCACACAACCGAGCAACTTGTAAACAATGTTGTTTACAAAGTTGGGCTTTTGTATACAATATTTGCTAGATTGCATGAAACGTTTCTGAATTTTACATGATATATAATGTAAACTTATATGATATGTGACGCTCCATTTATGTGCATCATGTTGAACAGAAATTTACACTTCTTTTTCGAACTGTGTAGCTCAAGTTGAGGTTCGCACTGACAAAAAGTTTGGTTCCGCACTGGTGTGAGCAAGCTGACAAACGTCAAAATTTGGTTTTGGTGTTCCAGTCGATTCCGACGGAGATTTCAAACGATTTTGACGGAGCTACGGGGTACGAGACGATTTCGGTGGAGATTTTAAATACTGCCAATGAAGGTTCCAAACAGGGCCCCACAAACTCACTTACTATCGAAAATCGTCACTTACAAGTGACGATGAAGCGATGTCAACCATCACTTTCAATTGAAAGTCATTATGTCTTCTCTTCGAGCAGATCCCCGTCAACATCAACAGAACCACTTTCGATCAGTTTTCATGCTGTTTGTTTTGGCTTGACTCGTGTTCATTTCTTCTTTCATTGTCAAATGAACTTACTTTTCCATTGAAGCAAAGCTGTTCGATCCAAATTCGTGCAGTTTTTATGACTTTTGTTGATTGTTCACTCGGTTCATTTAAGCGCATGCGCATAGATCTGTGCACGTAGATGTCAAATTTATCATTGTTGGGTGGTTTATTTGCCAATCAATATGGGTATTTTTTTAATCGGGGTGACGTCTAGAGAATAAAAAATTTGAAATCCAAGATGGCGGCTTCCAGTTTAAGAAAAAGTGGGAAATGCTGTCAAATACTTATCAATAAGGGTATTTTTCGAATCGGGATGATGTATAGAGGATGAAAATCGATATCCGACGCCATTTCAAGAACAACGTGTGAAAAGGGCATACAAGCTTTTTGTAAACAAGCCGTCTTATGCCCTTTTCTCGCCACCCGTATGACATCAACGCAACCCATCAACGTCACCGGGTAGGGAAAACTTTCTCCTTCCCGATGATGTTGTTGGTTTGGATGGGTGACCCTCGGTTGGCGAGAAAAGGGCTTACAAATGTTTGTTTACAAAAAGCTAGTGTGCCCTTTTCACATGTGGCTCTTGATTTTGGAATCGAAGATGGTGGCTTCCGATTTACCAATAAGTGGAAATATAGTCAAATTCACATCAATATTGGTATTTTTGCAGTCGGTATGCAGTCTACCGATCGAAAATTCAGTGCCAACATTTCAAAGGGGCGTAATTGCATTTGTAAACAATGGCTTATGCCATCGCTTTCTCGCGAATAAAAGCTCACTCATGAAAAATAATGACACCAGCAGGTAGAAGAATGTTTCCTCTACCAGCTAGCATTGTTATTTTGGAGAGGTAAGATTTCATTCGCGAGAAATTGACGGCTAAAATCATTGTTTACAAAAGCAATTACGCCCCTTTGAAATGTTGGCACTGAATTGATATGCGACGCCATTTTGTAATCCAAGATGGTGGCTTCCTATTTCAGAACAAGTCAAAAACCCATTAATATAGGTATTGGAATTGGGTTGGCGTCTAGAGGCCGGAAATCGATATCCGACGCCATTTTGAAATCCAATACGGCACCTTCCTATTTCAGAAAAAATGCAAAATGCTGATGCCGTCCCATCAATATGGGTATTTTTAGAATCGGGGTGACGTCTGGAGATTGGAAACCAATATCCGACGCCATTTTGTAATCCAAGACAGCGACTTCCGAAGTGCGGAAAAGTGTCAAATAAACTAAAATATGGTTATTTTCAGAATGGGGATGAGGCATAGATGCCGAAAATTTATGTCACGCCGTCTTAAAATCCAAGATGGTGACTTTGGTTCAGACAAACTGAGAAATACTGCCAAATACCGATCAATGTGGGTTTTTTTTAGGAATCGGGAAGCCAGAAATCGATGTCCGACGCCAGCTTTAAATTCAAGATGGTAGCTTCAGATTTCAGAAGAAGTGTCAAATAGCCTACAGATGGTATCGAATATCGATTTTCGCGTCGTCCCCGTTCCGAAAATACCCAGATCTAAGGGTATTTGACACTTTTTGTGAAGCCCGATGGCCGCCATATTGGATTCCAAAATGGCATCGGTTATCGATTTTCGGCATCAACGTGTTGTCAATGTTCCGAACATTACCATATTATAGACTATTTGACACTTTTTCTGACGCCCTGTGGCCGCCGTATTGGAGTCCAACATAGCATCAGATATCGATTTTCGGCAGCCACGCGTTGTCTCCGTTATTAAATACCCATATCTTAGGGTATTTGACACGTTTTATGAAACTTGTATTCCAAAATGGCCGCCATATTGGATTCCAACATAGCGTCGGATATCGATTTTTGGAATCTACGCGTTGTTGCCGTTCCGAAAATACCCATATCTTAGGGTATTTGACACTTCATAAAACCAATTGCCACTATCTGGAATTCCAACATGCCGTCGTGTATTGATTTTTAGCATCCACGCGCCGTCCCCGTTCCGAAAATACCCTATTGTACACACTACGAAAAAATCATGTAAATTTCCGTGCCCTGAGACCGACACATACAAGCGGCCCAAATGACATAAGGATCAGTTGAAAGAAACGAGAAAATCAATTCAATCAAGCGTACTTTTCGTCGAGTTGCGTTTGCTTCGGTTTAGGAACACTTAAGTTTACATGAAATGTTTGCTTACGTTCTATAATTTACGTCAATGATGGATTACGTCTGCTGTAAAAATAGTTATTTTTAAGTGTGTAGGGTATTTAACACTTCCCCGATGGCCGCCATCTTGGACTCCAGAATGGCCTCGTTAATTTGATTTTCGTTTAATATTAAATTATTTATTATTAGTACATATAGGGGGAGGAGGGGCATAGTGAACAGGTGGGGCATAGTGAGCATCCCGTAGTTTGGCCCTGGATCTCTAGCTGCATGAAACAAATCAACCGGCAGTAGGTTCAATATCATTATGATATTGATCCTACCACCAACCAATTTGTTCCGAACGGCCGGAAGTCCAAGCTGGTGCACGGGATGCTCACTATGCCCCTCTTACCCCTAATCCGGACGCCATCCCTATCGGCAACCGATATTGTCCGGATACTATCCGGATACTATATGTTGATGCATGCGTCGTCAGGTCGTGACAAGTTGAATGAGCCCCGAATTGAAGCGAAAGTGGAAAAAAACGAAGGAAGCAGTTTTCGAGGCATTCATTGCGTCAATTGAAACAAGTCTTTGCTTCAAATGAAATGAACTGAAGCACTTGACGAACGAAACAAGCGATAGTCCAGTCATGTTTGAAAAGAGGAATGTTCATCGTGACTCGAGATAACAAGTAACACGATGACTTACACGAACATGATATTGCTCGAAATGAAGCGATTATGCGGAGAGTTCACTTTCTTTTTTCTGTTTCGAAAATGCAGAACCCTGCTCAGTACTGTTTTGGCCGGATTTGGCGTCGGTTCATTACTCCAAGGACACGGTAGCCTGGTATAAAGCCAACAACAAGGTCCAATTCGTACCCAAGGAGATGAAACCGCCAAACTGTCCCTAGGCCAGGCCAATCGAAACGTTTTGGGTCCTGACCAAAGCATATTTGCGGAAACTTGTAAAGGCAGCGGATTCCGTTACAAAGTTTGCGAAAGACTGGAAAAAAGTATCCTAAATTGTTGGAAATGCATATGTGCTAAAGCTAATGAGCAGTGTGAGATCAAAAATCCGCTCCTTGGCTTACGACTGATCGGATCTCGTATTTTCTACGTTTAACAGAGAATACTATAGAGAACATGAATACGAAATAAAAATCAAATTTGATGTAAACAAAGCTACGTTATCATTTTTTAAATCGTGCTTAGACATTCTGGGACACCCTATAGTAATTGCATGGAAATGCTTCAAGGAGTTTGTTTTGGAACTCTCCTATGAACTCTCCTCAGAATTTCTAGCATTGAATACTAGTCAGTACGGCCCTGAAATTTTACTCAGAATAATCTTGAAATTAACATTAGACTTCACACTGTTTCCAATTTATTTAGAATTAATAATCCCATTTTTATTTTGAAATTCTAGAATACTAGGCTACTTTCCCTCAAAATTCACCTGGGGTTCCCCACACAATTTATTTTATCTTAAGTATTCTTGTTAAATTCCCATGGAATCATGCTTTAGACTCTGGTTGAGTTTCTCCGCAAAAGGAATCAACCATCCCGCAAAACACCGGTTGCCTCCAATCCATTCGTACAAATTACGGTTCAAATCAAGCTAGGAGATTGCAACTAATACATTGAATTATCGTATTCATAGATTTATATTTAGCAGTGATGGAAAAGTTACCAAAAACGCACTATGACCTGCGAACTTTTCCCTTGGTGAAGTTAACATTGCAATCGATATCAAATAGTAATCAGGTTCAATCAAAATCATTCCATGTTTCGAAACTTTTTTCACAAACTGTTATATTATTGACGGTAGTGTTTAAAACTAGTAAAGCACCTTCAACTTCTGCTTCTTCATCATCTTCCTCCACTATATTTTGTCTATCATAACTAAGCACTGGGTTCAAAACTTACGAAACTAGTAAAATGTGATGTAATGTACTCCTTCTTTATGGCTTAAGTATCTGTAACAAAAGTTGCCCTACATAGCTAGGAGAGCTCTAAAGAGTAGAAAAAGAAAAAAAAATCAGTATAATGAGAAGCACGTGTTACCCAGCAGACGCTCTTTGGCCGTAGGTCAGGTCAGGGCAAACTCTACCCGCCGACAAGGCAAACACCGAGCAAGTGACCGGAAAACCGGTACCGAAATGAAAATTCCGCCCGCCGTCGTCTGCTTGAAACGAGCGAGAAGATCAAAAGTGAAGAAATCATGCAAACAAAAAAAAATCACCACGAACAACTAAAAAATCGGAAACGGGAATAAGAGTCAGCGAGTGGCACCGATGCTGTGTGCTCTGGGAAAGCCATAATTTTTACTGCGGCCTGTCCTGCTGCGGCTGGGACTGTCGTCGGCAGGCGTTATTTTTCGACAGGTCCGAATCGGCGTTCTTCAGCTCCATGGCCAGCTTATAGCCCAGCTCCGGACGACGGTCCCGGCCCTCCACCATCGCTTTGACCTGGAAACAACGAGAGGGAGAGACAAGAGGGACAGTCGTTATGTTATATGCATATATGTGTGAGTGTGTGTATGTGTGTGTGCAATGTGCATAAATGTCCGGACTTTCGGAGAATTCAATTTGGATGTCAACCAACCTAGCGCTGGCAGTGACCGACCACCGACCAACCAATAGGCAAAACCGGATGTTTATTAAAATTTGTAATTTAGTTAAAAGCACTTGGCGTGATGAAGCCTCCGCAAATTGCGAATTGGTTCGAATCGTTTGCAATGTGAGTGTGTATGCGTTCAGTGTTCCTACTGACTACCGTTTTGCTAGCGTTAGACTTTTAATTAAAATTTCTCGACGGGGAATATGCAAAAATGAAACTTTTGATGAGTTACATTAAAGTTGAACCCGGAGAAGTCTTGCAAGGACTAGTGAAATGAAGATCAGTTCAGTTAGGTTCTGCACTGTTCTGATCGAATCTACACTGTTGTATTTTAACTTGCTTCGTTTATCTATTATGTGATCAAATCCATCTAAAATTAAACATTAGATTCTTTATATATTTCCTCCTGCACACCTTTAAGACCAAATCTTGGAATTCTACTGATATTTTCTAGAATTTTTCAGGACTCTCCATATATACCGTGAGTTGCAATTCATAATGTGATCATTTTTTTAAATTTGCGATTCCTATAAACATGATGTTTTGCTACTAATTTTCAAAAAAATATCGAACACAAATTTCCACAATAGCCCAAAAAATCACTCCAGAAATGCTTTTCTTATAACATACATAATTTCTCAAGAAGTTTTTATCATCGTACAGCGGGGGGAAGAACAAATGGGCTGCCCATATACTACTTGAAAAAGTTTTGTTTAAATATTAGAAGTTTAGGCAAAGTTTGGATTTGTCTGTTTATAAAAAGATACATATTTTTTATATTTTTTTGCAACATTTGTCCTCAATGTGATCTTTAGAAATTATTTTTTGTAAAGTACTGATCCAAAATATTTCACTCCCTCCCCATAGACATGGAGTTTGACGGTACTGAAGCAAAGGGTTGTGCTTAATTTCGTTATGTTTGCAACGATGATGATTTCCATATCACCTTCTTAATGCTTCAGTATACCTCAAACGATTAATTCTTGGTTGTTTAATAGAACTTCCTTGATGAAATCGGCTGCTTCATGCAGACTGAGCAATTCTGATTATAGTATCAGATTTTTTCTGTATACAGAGGAACTGGGAGGGCTTACTATGAACTTCTCACCAATAAAGTAATGATCTTCTATTATATTTTGCATATCATTTAATTAAAATTTTCTTTTATTTTAGCATATTATTTTTGTTACAGTCAATTGGCATTAGCATACGATACAAAAGATTTAATATTACTTGTTCGTTTTTGCGTAATATAATCAATAATACCAGTTTTTTCAAGTTTGTGTGATCCGATAGATTTCCCAGTTTGGTTAGAAGTTTCGAAGCTAACGCATTTCCACAGGCCTAATAGAAAGTTAGGCAGAAAATGTGAATCATGAAGAATGGTTGCATGCAGGGTTGCTTCCACTCACTTGCTATAGATGAGTGATTTTCGGAGTTTTGAATTCGTTGGATGTTATAATGGAGATTTGTGTTGTTGGATGCGGGAGGAGATTGGAGGGCGGGTGTTTGACGCGTGGAGCCTGTCAATTTCGCTTTCAGAGTGTCACAGTCAGCGGTTTTATGATTCGTGAGCGCTCGCGATTCGTAGAATCATTGATTGTGACTGTAAGTAGATTTGGCGGGCTTTGTGAGTCGGACGCTTGCTTTTTGGTCTCTTCTTGTGTCTAACATGTGCAGAGTATCATTATAGCGTCTAATGGTTTTGAGATTCCTGGTTGCGTGAAATATATTTGTGAGAATATCTTTTTGAGATTTTAGTAGTCACGTTTGGTTTGTAGTTTATATTTTATTTCTCTCATGTGATTATCGTAAATAATAGTTATTCAATAATAGATAGTTCATCCATATATTCGCACTTTGACGCAAAGCGCTGTGGATTATGATATGCTCGATGACCCTGGAGGGATCGATTTTGCTTACTGAGCAGAAAATCATGGGTTTAATCCCAGGCTCTCCGTCATGACTCCTAAAATTCATGATCACTAAACAAAATTAATATGTTCTTTTGATAGCCGGCTATCGAGAGATTAAATAAACAATATATACTTTTGGTTGCATCGCCAACTTGAGGTGAATCCTAACCGAATACCCTACCCAACCCTCAGACTCCGTAGCACTTATGAGGGTGTCGCTAAGTCGGTGGCCTCTCGTTAAGTAAGTACTACATCAACATTTCCTTCCCTATCCCTAGTTATGAGCGACAGTCATGCTTTTGTTACTCTTGTTTAGATTGGAACCAATGTTTACTCCCCAGCATTATTCCTGAAAGTAGTCTAACTGAGAATTTCAGAAGAGACGTGAGTGTCGCTAGTATCCAATCTACGAAGTACACTATAACAACGCTAACGCTAAGTACTAATCCAAAATATTTCTCTTGTGACTTGATCAAGAAATAGGAACTCCGTTCATAACAACTATGTGACTACTACTAGGTTTCAAAAACGAAGCTCTAGGCTTATGTGGAAATATTATAAGTTGAGTTTTGGAAGCGTTGGGAGAAATCTTCCATTTTTGTAAATAGGAAGAGAAAATATCTTAACTGTTCTGCAGTCTGCTGCAAATAACACGAAGACTTCTTCCTTTAGCGGAAATGCCTGTGTCATCAGCGAACAAAGATTTGTGGCAACCCTGAGGCAAATCAGGGAGGTCCGAAGTGAAAATGTTATACAATATAGGCCCAAGAATGCTACCCTGAGGAACTCCTGCTCTAACAGGTAGTCGATTAGATTTGGAATTTTGATAATTTACCTGCAGAGTTCTGTCAGTTAAATAATTTTGAACTAATTTCATAATGTAAAGTGGAAAATTAAACTTTTTCAATTTAGCAATCAAACCTTCATGCCAAACAAATATTCTCTTTAATAAAGCTTAAAAAAATCATGCCAAACACTGTCGAATGCTTTTTCTATGTCTAGAAGAGCAACTCCAGTTGAGTGGCCTTTAGATTTGTTTGAACGAATTAAATTGTTAACTCTTAAGAGTTGATGAGTAGTTGAATGCCCATGGCGAAATCCAAACTGCTCATCTGCAAAAATTGAGTTCGTATTGATGTGAAGCATCATTCTATTCAAATTATTTTTTCAAAAAGTTTACTTATTGAAGAAAGCAAACTTATTGGACGGTAGCTAGAAGCTTCAGCTGGATTTTTATCCAGCTTCAAAATTGGAACAACTTTTGCATTTTTCCATTTATCAGGAAAGTATGCCAAATGGAAACATCTGTTAAATAATTTTACCAAGAAAGACGAGGTACTCTCTGGGAGTTTTTTGATGAGGATATAGAAAATGCCATCATCACCTGGAGCTTTCATATTTTGAAACTTTTTAGTTATAGGCCTTACTTCGTCCATATCAGTCCCCCAGGAATCATCAAAAATATTTTCTCGACAGAAAATATTCAGATAATCCCGAGCAACCTGATTCTCAATAGGACTAGTAAGACCCAAACTGAAATTATGGGAACTCTCGAACGAGCAAGTTTCTGAGCTTTTTCCAAATTTGTGATCAAAATTTTACCACCTTCTTTAAGCGCTGGAATTGGCTTTTGAGGTTTTTTTGAAAAATTTTGTGAGTTTCCAAAAGGGTTTGGAACTCGAGTCTAATTTAGAAACATTTTTTTCAAAAGTTTTGTTCCTCAGGGCAGAGAATCGCTTTTTAATTTGTTTTTGCAAATCCCGCCAGATAACTTTCATGGCAGGATCGCGTGTTCTTTGATATTGTCTCCTACGGACATTTTTAAGACGGATCAAGAGCTGAAGATCGTCGTCTGTTATAATTGAATCGAATTTAACCTCGCATTTTGGTAATGAGGCAGCTCTTGCTTCAACTATAGAGTGGTGCATTATTCCATGAGCGGTGTTTTGCATTAAAATCACCAATAATGAAGAATTTAGACCTATGACGGGTAAGTTTCTGAAGGTCACCCTTGAGAAAATTCTTTTGCTGGCCTACGCATTGGAAAATAAGCAGCTATAAACGTAATTTGTCCAAATTTTGTTTCAACAAAAACTCCCAAAGTTTCAAAAACTTTGGATTCAGATGAAGAAAAAATTTTATGTTTGATTCGTCTATGAACAATGATGGCAACGCCACCACAGGCTCCATGAAGAAGATCATTTCTATAAATGAAATAATTTGCGTCCCTTTTAACCTTATGGTCAGGTTTAAGGAACGCTTCAGTTATAACGGCAATATACACGTTATGAACTCTCAAAAAGTTAAATAGCTATCTTTAAGAGATCGAGCATTCCAATTTAAAATATTTAATGATTTAAAATCCATTAATCCATTAATCCATTAAAATCCATTTTGGAAATTTCCTCCAGTCTTCCTGAAGTGTTCCCACTTCACTCGGACATGGAGCATAAGACTAGCTTTTTCTAAGGTCTTAAGGTTGTTTAGTTCACTAGACTTGAAGTGAACTACATAAAAATCATTAGAAATCCCGTTGCGCGAATCGCCAGGACGGGATTTCATTTTCATTTTGATTACTTGGAGTGGGACAGCTCCAAGTAATTTTGCCAGTTCATTTTTGACCTGATCCAGGGATTCACCACTGGGTAGATCTTTCATGACAACCTTGAACACACGTTGAGTTTTGGTGTGGTAAGTAAAAAAATGTATGCTGCTTCTCAGTAAGATACTTGAGAAGACATTTAAATCCGTCCAAGGTTTCAGCCAGTACACGGCATTCACCCCGACGTCCAATTTGTAGTGAAAACTTAAATTTCAGGAAGTTCAAAAGTTCCATGCGAAGAGCATAGAAATCGGAAGTGGTTATCACATTAGGGGAAATCTTTTCCTTCTTGGCATTAAGCCTGGAAAGTTTACTGGAATTTTTTTTCTGG